CTGGGCCATGCGACGATGTTTCTAGAGGAGGTATCATGAACACTTGTTTGTTTACTTCTTTGTTCTTGCTTGTTTTTTGTTGCTGTTGTTGTCGTTTTTGTTTCAGATAATTTCCAGCTTTACCTGATTACGTTTTTCCACTCCTCCACTAAATCTCGCAGTTTTCGATTGTGCTGCTTTTAACTAGCTTGGAACGGGCCATATTTTACCGTGCATCGAAGCATTGAATGGCTTGCGTTTGGAGGGATTTTATCTATTGTATGGCAAAAGCCAAACAGCGAGGGGAACAAAACGTAAACGTAGGAATTTTCTATAAAGCCTCCAAACTGATGCACAAATTTATCTTGAACCTCAGTTAACTTTATTTTGTTTCAAACGGTCAATACCAGTATAGTCAGGGAGGCAACGTCTTGACTGTCACAGGGAAACAAAATAAGGGCTCACTTTCCTTACCATGAAAAATGTAAAATTTGCATAACAGAATGAAGCAAAAAAACAACGACAGATTTCGCTCGGTGCGAGCTGTCTCTTCATGAGGATCAATCGGTACCATATAATTGACTTCGTTCAGTGTGTTACAACTGGTTTCTTTGTTTATTTGTTGTCTACAGGTCGCTATATTTATTTTGATGCCTCGCAATCTAAAGGAAAAGCCAGGTTTTCTACTCCCTACAGTATCCACTCTCATACGTGTCTGAAATTTCATTATCATATGACTGGTATGCATACAGGGAGGCTAAATGTTTATACGACAGATATCAGGGGTAAAGAACAATTGCTGTGGAGGCTCTTTGGAGAACAGGACAATATATGGAGAGAGGCCAGTATCCCAGTCAACGGTATTCATCAACAATATCAGGTACATTTTTTCGATTGTTACACTATGAAAGTGTTAACCACTGACCAATTAGGCCTTAGCTCCATTTTGGCCATTGCTTTTACCTGTTTAGAAAGCAGTTAAGATACTACACGTACTCTCATTGGTCGATAGTGGCGTTTAGATGAGAGCATTTGAATGCGGTTGATAGGTTTTTTAGATAAATTTCTCATAAAAACGAGTGACAGAACTTTTCCTGTAGACCATTTGCCCAGACGAAGGGCTAACGCTCTAAACATCCAAACGTCAACTTTAAAAAAATTTTCCGGTGGCCAAATTATATTTTCCTGTCTAGCTTCACTGAAACACAAGGGGTGTTGAGAGAATTCGAGAAAGTCCTGCTAGCCCACGACTGCCCATTGAGTTCGAAAAATTGTCCAGAAGTCTCCCAAATTTTGTGAGTCTAACATAAGCCGACCTGAATATAGATATTTCAACAAGTGCGTATATTCCGTCTTAGGTCATTTTTGAAGCGGTTGGTGGTCCAGATCACTTAGGAGATTTAGCAATAGATCAGATTGTGTTTACCAGAGAGTCGTGTGTCTTCTCGCCTTTTTCAGCAATGCCCCAGAATTCGTATCGCTCAGGAGTGGGTAAGTCACGTGTTGCTCTATTTTCACTGCATTTCTGATGTTTGCATCGTCTTATTTAGTGAGATTATGTTCCGGGAACGAAGAAGCTCCTAAAAGTTGACTTTCTCCTAACAAGTGGTAGCTCAGTTAATAGTAGCGCTCGAGTATTATCTTTAAGACTTAGGTAAGAATCCCTCAAAGCCTGAATTTCCTCAGGCTTTTCTCTTGCAATTCCTTCTATCGCTGCTCTTCAGTGAGGTTTCACTTTATCCTCTCTTTGTTTTTCTGTTCCATGGAAAATTCAAGATATTTTTTCATGTGAGAGTCAGCCTTCTAAACTAGAACTTCTTTTCCTAAGCGAAACTACTGAATCCCTGAAATAATGTATACTCAAGAACCCATGGCAGCTTATACAAAATGGTATGTAGGCTTGTCATGAAAATAAATAAAAATGGCCTAAAAATTCTGGCGTCTTTAACACACTTTTATTGTTCTCGTGACTTCATTTTTCGTAGTTATCACTTCCTCTATAGTTTCAATGGACACTATTTACCATCAACATCTTGGTTTGATGGTGGAAGAAGAAGGTTATGGCACTTCCCGTTGGATTCCTTGTTATCGCGCTCTTGATAATGGCTGGAACGTTTCTACCTTTCACAGGCTCTGTGACGATAAAGGTCCT